AAGTTGCCCTTCTCTCACCAATGATGATACAGACTGCCCTATGCTAGAAATTCAAGATTGTTTTTCCACGGATGACGCAGAAAACCTTTGATGTATTATGGTGCTTGTTTAGTGCTGGCTGTGGTGTGGTGAAGTCTACTTTTACGTGTGCTCACACGTCGCCTCATAAAAAGAACAATAAAGCATTTATTTTCCTTTCAATATTGTCCACTTTTTGTGTTAGAAGCACCCAAGCAGTGCTCTTCCAAGGAGCTCTCGCCATGTTTTAAGCGTGTGACAAGCATACTCGAGATAGTCATTTCCCCAAGGACACTGGAAGCATGTGCAGTTGGTTTTCAGAGAGTAACTGCGAATACGGGGGGAGAACGGTAAAGAGTAACTGTTGCTCTTAGAAGAGCAACTGGTGGGAGTAATGGTTGGTCCGCAGGGAGCAACTGGTGGGAGTAACTGTTGGTCTGCAGGGAGGAACTGGAGGGAGAGCAACGGTTCCTCCCTCTGCATTTACTCCTTTTAGGGGAGTAATGGGAGTGGCAATGCAATTGCTCCCTGAAAGGAGCAACCCCTATACCCCTGTTGCTCCCTTTTGGCTTAGAGTGATAGTGCTACGTGGTCATCGGTGTGGATGCCGAGGCTGCCTGGGCGCCTTCCTGTTGATATGGCATCTTGCGGGGCCTCTCAGTGTGGCATCTGTAGCCCTTAGAAGGGATGACCGCAAGATAGCGCGGAGCGTTGATGTAGGAAAAAACGGGAGTGCAAAAATCACGCGTCCTACTTGCTTAACATTTCACACGGCTCTCCAATTGAAATGCACTAGAGTCATCACATGTACTAAATATCAAGTGTTCACTGTTTAAAAAAAGTAAAAAATAACCTTGTACGGTAGGACTTAGCTCCAACTTTCAGCAGTCACGTCTTGCATCAACGCGAGATCAAAAAAACACTGGCGAGAAGAAACATAATCATGGGCGAGCCTCACGGCGAACGAGTTTTCAGTCAATGCGAGAGCAGTTTGCGAGCACCATTGGTGACGAAAATTCTACGGGTGGCGGAAGCATAAACTGTTTGTCAAAACAAAACAGCTGAAACACTCCCCATGTGCCCCTAAGGAACGGCCATTAGGTATCTCCTCGAAAGGCACCCTGAGAAAGAGACTACTTCACCTCCGATGTCGTCACGGGCGGCGGCCGTTGCCAAGTGCAAGTCGGCGCACGTTCCGGTGAAAGTGTAGCCAATGGCGGGCCGCTGCGGTTGCTACGCGTTGAACGTTCTGGCTGTTACAAATGCGCTGCCGAGACCCCACCCTCACCCGAGCGGAGAGTGAAAGAGCGTCGCTGATTCGTTGAATGTACCCTCGCTTGGGCGAGGCAAGTGTCTTGGCACGTGCGTTGCGGCTGGGCGGGGAGAGCGCGGAATGGCCTTTAGGTCCAGCTATATAGACCTTTCAACTCAAGGCTGCATGGATGCCGCCTTAGCCCTCTTTTGGCTGTTGTTAGTGCGTGTGCACCCCCCCCCCTCTAATACAGCACTGTCGAGGCTGTGACATCGTCTTTTGTACGCTTGCGCAACATGCTCTGTGACGTGAATCGAGAAGAATGGCCTCGCGTACACCGTAGCAACGTATTGGGACCCATTTGTCAAGCCCAAGGGACTATACTTCCTCTAGTGAAAGCGACCTATCATATGTCTTGTGTTCCTTTAGACAGCTTTTTGTGAGTGGTTGGGCCCTCGTAAACCTTTGTCGCACAAGTTAAGTATGGTATGGGGTCTGTGCACAAAACCCACCCAGCGATACGCATTCAAAGCTCTTGCCGTCTCTCGAAAGCGACCAGACATAGACGTTAGGAAACGAACCAGTTTTTATCAAGCCATATTATTTCATTTCTCGCTTTTAGCAGTTTAACTCTTGTTCTGTGCCAAAGCACTATCACAACAATTATTATGTCTGTGTAAACTTGAAAGCGCTGAGGATTGTTTCGTGCATTTTGTCTATACCCTAAATAATTGTTTGAGAGCTTCCCGGCGTGTAATTATATATCTTGATTTGACTGTATGATAATGGTAACAGAAAAAATAAGTATTTGAATCAAGATATGAATGGAAGTATAACAGAGCACTTAGACTACAAGCCTCTAATGCACCAAAGGTCACTGAGGTGTATTATGTTGTACGAATGTGACACATTTGCACTTTATTGTATTGAAACCTGAAAAAAGTATGCAAAGTAGGACATATTAGGTGTTCTGGTATGAGCACATATATTCAAAATATGTCTTCATATGATGAAACGGATTATTCATACGTATCTCATCATTTTATTTTTTATTTTATAGCTGTGGAATATTTGTAAAAGTTTGCCGACGTTGATTAAATGTATACATTGCAGGAAAACAAACAGGGGGATCCAGCTGTCATGCACATTCTGTGGTTGTGCGTCACTGAATGGCATGATGCACATTGATGTGTTTTTGACATTCTGAAAGGGCAAACCATGATTGTTGAAAAGTGATAGCTTTTTTTGAAAAAAAAAGAATGAAAGCATACCATCGACTAAATTTTTGCTGGGATTGCATTAACCAACTCCGAGAAATACAACTTCTGATGCGCAAGAATTGCAGGTCATATATTGCTGCCTTCTGTGTCACCAGCCTATTGTGCAACTGCAGTCTTTTGCATACAAGAAAGTTGCTGTGAACACTGATTTCTCTATTATCATCTGTGCTGCTTCCCTCAATAAATAGTTCGAGCACTTTTGTCTATCACCCCAAGTATTTTTGTTATGTACGGCCTCCCTGTGCATCCTGTCATTGAGCAAGAGAGGAGACAGCACTCGCGGATTTCTGTTGATCCACAACGCAAGGCGGCCAGACGACTGCGGTGGCGTCGATCGCTATGACTTCGGAAGATTTACTATTGATTCTTAAAACAGATGCTCTCATTGTCCTTTAGGCATCTGCATGAAGGGGATCGTCTGCAGTGGACGGGGAAATATGCAAGATGTAACGATGTAATGTGCTTGACTAAACTTGGAGCACTCTGCTTCTTGGTTAGTACAAAAAGTAGCTTTGAATACATTTTTCGTGTGTCTTTTTTCTTCTTTGGCGGGAATAAGAATGATCCTGTTGGTCGCAGTGCATAGAAGCAATGAAGATCAGTGATGTATTTAGGCGGTGAATCACGTGACCTACAATTGTGTAGTCCTGTTGTTCAAAGTAGACACCATTAGGTCGCCGTGTTGGTTCGCTGACACAATGGGGGAATCACTATAAATTAGGGGATTTAATTACGTTGACTCACACCTAATGACTGTCAAATAAGTTTGAATTAGGAGATAAGAAAATATCTAAACAAGAATCTTGGCATAAAACGTTGATATTTGTGCGTGCCTGAAGCAGTGGGAAAGAATAAATGTCTCGGTATGTAGGCTACAGTTATTGGTGTCGTAGAACAGGTCCGTAAATATCACCGAAAAATAAAACAAATAAATATAAATATATTTTCAAACCGATCGTTCAAACTAATGTCAACCGATTTCAAACGTCGAGCTGAAACCGCTAGTTGGTTTGAAATTGACGTTTGAAATTTTGGCCGAAAGCGAAAGTTTTTGCTATGAGGTCACGCACCCATTATCTGTCCCAAACCAATATTATTGCTTTTTGTTGCTTCGTTTTCTTTTACAGCGGCTTGTTTGCATACGACACAAAGCTGCCAGAGAACACGACGGCACTTTTCTCTCGATTTCGCTCCGACGTTTGGAGCCCTTACTCAAACAGGCTGTGGTGATCGCGAGCTTTGCCTCATTCTTGCAATTGGAACGCTTTCTCCTTCATGCACGCTTCTTTGTGCGAACTCGGGAGCCTTTGGTCGCACGCTTACGTTCATCATAATCGATATGCTCCTCAGCCATCTCGCGCACATACTCTTCATGATTGCCCATCAGTTAATCGTTCTGCTGCGGCTGCCTAGATTGCGCTTTTCTTTTCTTTCCTCTTTGGCCACTCAGGCACAGTGACGTGCATCTGATTCAAAGCAGTCAGGGAAGACAACGGTCTTTTTATCGCGAATTCGTCACGTCGATTAGAGGCCTTTTTTCGAACGCGCCACGCTAATCGTGAGCTTTGTCGCGATTTTGTCTTGTCCGCCTCTGACACTTTTTGATATTGTCTATAGGGCTGAAATGCTCAATTTTAGTGGGACACTTCGTTAAGCTCAACTCCGTTTCTACCACCACGGAATCCTCACACCCTGATTTGACGGAGAGCTCCCTTTCCTCGGAACGGGTTAGAACCTCTACCATTCCCTCATACCCGTGCACACGGGCATAGAAAGTGACATTTGGTGGCGAAGGCCTTCAGTTCCCGAATGACATTTGTTTCGCCGGCGCTGCTACACGTCGAAAGCGAGTGACATTTGACTTGATGATTTCGATCACAGCACCTTCCAAGTGAACATTGAGAGAATAGCAATAAAAAAAATTAAGAAGCATTTACAAGCTTCATACACTTCAAATAATCATCAAATGTAGAAATAAGCGTATTACGCTGTCCTAAGCTTTAGTTTCTTGCTTTGTTTTACAACGTTGCAGCCGACCATAGCAACCTAAGCCAACACTAGTCAGATCCACAGCGTAAATAGAAAATGGCGCCTGTCGCATCGCAGCTGTCACATCTCTCAGAAGAAGATGTTCGCAGAGTTCGTTTTTTCACGGCAGCACTTGTGTGTTTCTGTGCAAAGCATCGTGCTCAAGAGCGAATAATTTTGGAGCAGAGACAAGTTATTATGCGTCAGCTTCAGGACATTGAACTTCAATTAATAATTAACAATTTCAACCTGATCGCTAAAGCGTCTTTGCTGAGCACAACGCCTTGATCTTGGTGGTGTTTCCGTCGTAGTCAGCACTGGTTTGAAGAAACGCTACCAAATCTTGGGAAGCATACTTCAAAAGGTGCTTTCGCGTCTCGGCTGCCACGTTTCGTTACATTGTGGAGTCGTGTCGTACCGACATGCAGAGGGTGGACACAACAATGAGAGAGGCAATATCAGTAGAAAAAAGAGTAGCCGTCTCACTCTACCGCTTGTGCTCTGCTGCCGAAGACCGCACCATCGCCGAATTGTTCGCGATTGGCCGCTCTACTGTGAACTTGCTCTACAAAGAGTTCTGTACGGCCGTACTGAAAAACCTGGAGGACGACTGGGTGAAGATGCCTTCGCCAACTGACATGGAGAAGCATATGAGGGAATTTTTTGCAGTCACGGGATTTCCACAAGGTGTTGGGGCGCTCGACGGCTGCCACTTTCCAGTGTCACCGCCAAAAAAATATGCTTCGGACTACTACAATTACAAAGGCTGGTAAGTTGGGAAGGCCTGTTCATCGTTTATTAAAATGTCTTTACGTTTAGTGCATTCGTATATGAACAGTCGATGCTACGTGTTTCAAATAAAATATGTTGGCGTGTGACTGCAAAGTTTTCTGGATAATTAGCAGTACTGACTGCAATATTGCTGTTATATTTGCAGGTATAGCATGATCTTGCTGCCTCTAGCGGACCACCGGTACCGCTTCAGCTACACAAACGTCGGCTCCCCAGGGCAGTGCCACGACTCGTTTGTGTACGGAAGATCCGTACTCTGCAAAGTTATTGAAAGCGGATTTTTCAAACGCCCAACAGCAGCAATCGAAGGAGTTTGTGTGCCTCCAATAGTGCTGTGTGAACAGGCATTTGCTCTATCGCCAAACCTGCAGAAACCATATGCGAATGCACAGCCTGGCACACAAGAAAGGGCGTACAACTATAATCTGTCAAAAAACAGAAGGATTGCAGAAAATGCATTTGACCGTTTGAAAGCCAGGTTTCGATTCATTATGAAACGCATGGAGTGCAAGCTCGCCACCACTACCCTGGTTATTAAGGCATGTTGTGTTCTTCATAACATCTGTGAAGGTTTTCAGGAACACATAGAACCACATTGGGAACAAGAAGTAGCATTGTGGAATGCTGCTTACGAGCAGCCAACTTGTACATCGGACGCGTCTAGCAAAAACGGTGAAGACGTAAGAAAAGCGTTTGCGAAATACTTCTTTGCTAGAACTCAGCAGTCAGTCACAGTCTCAGGTAGCTGAGGTAATCTTGTGCCGGCAGCAGTGAAACTGTTTTTGAAGAATATATGCACCATTTACGGCCTTCATACACTGCGTCAAAGCTGTAGTATGTTTGTGTTTGGTACAAAATAATACTTGGAGTTTAATGCCCTAAAACCACAATATGATCGTAAGGAATGCCGTAGGGAAGGGCTCCGGAAACTTAGACCACTTGATCTGTTTGTCAGCTGTTAAAGTGTTTTTTTTTTTTTAATAACGGGAAGCACATTGCTCACCTGTACTTGCTTCACTGATTTCAAAGCATCACCAAGCACGCCTTGTTTTATTGTTTGCTATTCATGGCACATGTTTTTTACTTCACAAAAGCGTTGAAAGTGTGAGATTAGGCCTTTGTCAGAGGGTGTTTTTTTATTTGCTCCAAATACTGTTAAAACAACTTGTATACCATGCTTAATTCTTTTGCTGATAATTTTGTATTTTATAAGGCAAGGTCATTTATCATTATTGTGCTTCAAAAGAAACAAGTAACGCAGCAAACCCTATAAGCTTTTACCATTCAAATGGCTTTTTTGAAGTGACACCCATATCCCCTGCCAATTTTGGCAGGCGGCTGTGCACTGTATTTCATTTCTCTGTAGTATTGTAGTCTTTACTACAATATTGTAGTCTTTAAGAGTGAAGTGTGCATTTTTGAAATCTTTGTATATATTTTAATGGTTTACCTCGAACCTTTGTTTTCATTTAGTATACATCCGTTTCCCGTCTTTTAGTTACGTTTGATGCACATTTAGTCCACGTGCATGACCTTAGTGTTCGGTTGTTTGCTGCACACATATTTATTTAGTATGTTTATTTTGACTCACTTGCCAAACGTTTGTCAATCTGCACTTTGTGGCTTTTTTAGTCATTGTCATAGTTCTTATAAAGAAGTGAAAGTTTGATTAGTTGAGTTAATAAAGAGTTGCACAATCATGTGATGTTTTCAGAATTATTAAACGTGTTTTATACTGTTTATAGGAATAAAAATGCACAAATGTGTGCATTACAACTTCAATTTAGTGTTGCCCAGGGAGAACTCTCCAGAAGCATATATAAGCGCATTGATTTCAATATGCCAAGCCTTCGGTTTCTGCACCAGGACATCTTAATTTCTCGGTGGGAAAAGTGCATACTAAACTGCAGTCAGCAAAGCGGTATTTGCTATCAAATGTCAGGGTAACAGCATTAGTGTAGGTGTGAAAGCACCAATAAAAGCACGGTATTAGGACTCTAGGTTATTGCGACATGCAAGGAATCGGTGTGCGAATTTATGTCACCGGCTTTTATTTTGATTTCTTAAGCTCGATAGAACTCGTTTGCCTACAACAATTTTGATTTTTTTTCAACCACTTAGTGATGTAACGTGTAAGTTGCCATTCAGAAGTTTGGAGACTATTAAAAAATAGTAGCAGGGCTCTTTTATTAGGCTGCACGAAAATCAGTGCTGCCTAATACTCATAATGTATCTCTTAAGAAATTCACAATTACAAAAGCAAACTAGTATTTATTGAATAAATATTTCTTTAAGGCCTCCGTTATTCAAGGAACTTTTGAAAAATATCAATCAGCTTTTCTTCTCTTTTAGCTGCTTCCTTCTGAAGCTTCAATTGTTCATTTTGTTGCTCGAGTTCTCGTGCTTTGCACTCTTGCCACATTCCTCTGAACATCTTTTGCTCTTTAACCATTTCCATGATTGCAGAATCGGGGCCAGCTTGTGTCCTATTTTTTGATGCAGCTGGCTGTGCCGCAGTTGCTTCAGCTTCCGCTGGTGACAATTTACTGCATCGCGGAAGGCTTTCCACGGCAGGTGCAGCTGTCTCCGCCGGTCTAGTTGCTGCAGTTTGCTCTATATAGCAGTACTTGTGGCAACGGTGGCACTTGAAGATTCTGGCACTTCTATCACCAGCTGCATCTCGGCCTCACTGCCAAGAAGCTCAAGCTCGCTCAATTCATTCCCCGTTTTCATTCTGCGTACGATCTGCGAAAAGTTACATAAATATTAACAGTAGTGTCACAAAGGCTGGACACATATTAGAGACACCATTCGTTGCAACTTGCACCAGTGCTCAGGGGAATGTACATGCTGACGAAGCAGTAGACAAATACACATTTACGCACATAAAGCAATGCAAACACTGCAATTTTATGTGTGTGATGTTGTCTGTTTGTGCAATGCTTTTTGAAATCGTCGTGGCTCACCACGTAACCCATCGGCACATATAAGGTAGATACCAACCTGTGAAATGGAGAGGCTTTCGCAGTTGCTTGCAGCAGCAAGTGTAGCGTCATTTACCGACAGACTCCCAAGCAACTGGTGGATTCGCCAATAAAATGGCCACGTGACCGCACCAGAACCTGTAGTTCTGTTTTTTGAGAATAATCTGTAATAAACGGAAGTGCAAGTTAGTAGTAGTGACAGAAGCAAGTCGAAACGATTCTCTGGGCTTGTGTATGACGCCATCTTATGACACCAGGCTTTGAACAGTGGAATAGGTTGAATTGTTGTGCACACTGCGTGTGATAATCCAATTCGATAACAGTATCCAATGGCAAGACGACTGCACCAATTCACACAGAGTCCATTCTTGGTAGTCACATTATGAATATAAAAATCCTAGGTACACAAGGTATGTCTAGAATTAATGTTTTCACAAGTGAACCTGTATTTTGTAGGATTTTCATTCCTGAGGACAGGTCCGTTTGTTAAAGTGTTGGCTTCAGGAACATCCTGTCTTCCAAGGGTTGTTTTTTTTTCATTGCTTCAAAATTTTATCTCCGGCTGAACTTGCCAATAAAGGCACCTGAGAGAGGCCATGAGGACGAGCTATTAACTCATCTCTAATGTTGCCCAGGAAATGCAATACAATCAACGCGGGTACAAATTTGTTTAAATTGACAACTAAATAGGCATAGCAAGTGTTTTTATGTGGGACACCTAGCCAAATCACACCTAAATGGTCGTAAGGGGCAGAGCTTTTTCGCGCCGTTTTCCGCGAACATTTGGTTGGTTAGAAGTGTGGCAGCTTGGGTTAGTTGGTATGGCATGACGATAGTTATAACGCGAGAACAAAACGACGACACAGAGACAGGGAGTGCCCCTGTCTATGTGTCGTCGTTTTGTTCTCGCGCTATAACTATCGTCATTTGGTTGGTGGCGGCATTGACATGCACGGCGTAAGCTCCTCGGCAGTACACAAGCATGATATTCAAGTCAAAATGCTCACCTGTACTTGCTTCGCAGATTTTCGATTTTAGTATGTACTTGGGCTCGCATCCTCACGATGCCGTACCTGGCCAACGCTTCCGTAATGGCAGAGTAATATTTGGCATTCCGCTTTTGACCACGAAGGCCTGAGAGGCGTTCTTCCCAGAGTGTAATCAAAGTCATCGTCTCCTCTTCTGTCCAGCTCGCGCGCTCATTGGAACACGTCATCTCTTCTTTTATTTCTTCTTTGTTTAAGCAGAGCGAAATGGCGCGTGCGGTTTGGCGGAAGATTGGAAAGCAAAGAATGAAAACTGATGAAAAAAGCAGAGAAAGTCATGGAGAAAGTGAACTCGATGGCGATGGCGATGAAAATACCAGTGTTGCATGCTTGTTTGCCAAAGTTTCGCTAAAATTGACAAGCGTTTCATTACCAATACTTTATTTTCTTCGTATATAGTTCAAAGCATCTTTTTAGAATTTAGTGCAAATAAAAGACGGGAAATTTCATTTTTAGCTCAATATGATTTGTTTGATGGACTTTCAGGTAAATCGCACTTCGCGAGCTGTGACGTCGAGAGTAGGCATTTCTCAGTCAACTGAGTTCTGGCGAAGGCAGTTGGTGGCGAATGGCATTCGAATGGCATTCCAATGAATGCCATTTTGTTCGCCCGTGTGGCACCACGCGAATGGCAATAAATCTGAAAGCATTCGGGGGTAAATGCCATTTTTTCTGCCCGTGTGGCACGGGTATTACAGGCATTAGCCTTCTCTTCAGCCTTAAACAGCACCGCCGCTACACCGCACTGTTCGTGCACTACATCTACAGATGTCGGGCATTTTGCTGCCGTACCTCTCACTCACGATGCAGCCTTTCTAGTTCTTCATCTAATGCCTGCATCTCTCTTCTATATTCTTCATGTCCGCGCTGAGCTTCATATCCTTTCTGCGGAATCTTTTCTTTATTTACCAGTTGCGCTTCTCTGCCTCTCTTTTTAAGCTCGATGTTCTGTAAACATTTTTTTGAGTTCATTACCGTCTGCCCCAATAGCCTCGATTGGCTTCATGACTTCTGGCTGTGCATTCTAGTCGACAATTTAGAGGCCCAGCTTTCGGGCCAACTCGAGAAGTTCCGGCTTCTTTATGTGCCTTGAAATTCATGGCTGCTCCTACTGCTCCTAACTCTTCACTGCTTCAACAACTTTAACGTACCATATTTACTTGCGTCAACAGTACCAATATCAATGCTTCACAAAGCCTGGTGATATCCTAGCGAAGAAAAGTTATGCAGTCACTATATGCAGTCGAAAAATTCAGGCGTGTTCCTTTCGGAGCTGTCAGCAGCGCCACGAGGAACCACCCTTCGGCTTTAGGTCATCCGGGTAGTGAGCTTCAGTGATCCCTACCAGTGCGACAAACTCAATCTCACCATGTGGCTCCATATTGGCTGACCTTCATTCGCTTTCAGAAGATCCGTCTTACCTATCCGCTTCCATTCAGTTGTTATGTCCGGGGTTTGACAGCACACCACCTCTGCTGTCGACGAACTGTCGTAGTTGCGGCCTAGGTCCGGCTGGTTCCGTTATGGGTAGCTGGTCCTTGACTGGGGCGGAGTCACTACACTTACACTTTGGCACCACGGTGTCCCCTCGCTGGCGTGATGAGGTTGTTCGGGTGATGGGTCTCACGCTCGGGCCGACGCATCAAAGGGACCACAGTGACGCCACTGTTCCTTCGAAGAAAGTTGTTGCGACCAAAACCCATTGTGGTCAATATTGATGCCGGACTGCAGGACGCCTTACTTCCCTGTTTAGAATGACAATGACCGGGATGGAACAACTTTCCGTGGGCTAGCAGCCCCTCATCGACTCGTTCATGGTACAGAGAATTCCACTCTCTTTTTTGGCGATCTAAAAGAACCCCAGCGGTGGCGGGGGCGGACAAATAAAGCGCACGTAACCCTTGTAATCTCATAACAGCTTTCGCTGTAGATGTGTCATCACTGTCTGCATAACCACTTTCAAAGTATATCGTCTTCGTTTAGAGTGAGCATTGGAGGCTCTGCTTTAACGTCAACAATAGTATCTACAAGTCGCTGACCCCACTATTCTCTCCACTGGCTTTGCCAAAGGCCCGTAAAATTGTTTGGTAAATGGTGGTAACTCGGTGACCAATAAGCACTTTAGTGTCGTTTGGAATCGATGATGATGTTGATGAAGCCCGCGTGACCTTTGAGAAGTTGAAAGGTACTGCACAATTTCTAATGGACATTTCGCAGCTGAGGTTCGTTTACACAAGCGTCACGACGTGCTTAAAACCGCGTAACCTTTCGCGACTGGACATGTGTTCGATAGTTTGGAAGAGAAGCTCATAATTTAGAGAAGCGTTTACTTCCTGGTAACATTGGCGCTACGGGTAAAGGTTACGAGCCTTCACAAAGTGGTTGTTTATAGGGATATTCTATGAGAAGGGCGCATTATACCGCTAGGACAAAGCCTGCTCTTTGCTTATGAAGCATAACGGCTCAGCTGGAAGAAAAAGGAAAACTTGCAAATCCGGTATTTCTTCATGTCAGAGAATCATTAATAGTGATCAAGGCATATTCAAGCATTCTAATAAATAAACCAATCGCTACATTTGCGAAAGCTTGTTCTTTGTAGAAACGCAGGCTAGAGCAAAATTTCCTGCTCAATAGCTTCAAAACCTAAGCGCGTGTGCTCGAAAAGTGCTTACGCCGTCATGAAGGCTTTTAAAGTGGTAAGGTGCAACGATAAAACATGGAAACATGTTCGAGCACCGCTTTACGCCGATATGCTTGCGGTGGCGCCAGGTTGCACTTCATTGAAGGTATACTAATGGCACGCGCCAGTTACCAGAGATGAAAGAATCCGTAATAAATAGCACTAACTTTAGTATATACGCGCCATCAAGTTTTTGCTTGTACACCCACTACGGTGGTGTTGTGGTAACTTGACCGCTGACACAAAAGCTGCAAGATGAAGTCCCTGTAGAGGCCACTGTATTTAAATGTAGACAAATCGCTTGAGGCTTATATAACTAGCCATAGAAGCATGTTACGAAACTCGAGGTGGTTGAAATTTCCAGAGCCATCTACAATAGTGCTTTTAAGAAGCTTATACTGATTTTGTTGCATTAAACCCCAGTCATAATTAGTTACTGCCTTTTTTTACGATCAAATCACACAAAATTTACGTCAAAGGTGATATAGTTTAGGGATGATTAGATATTTTGATTAACCTTTTCGTCCTTTTATGCAACACCGTACTAATCGTTCTGCCACAATTTTTCATATTTGCTTTATGGGCACCTGGCGAGAAACTGAGAATAATTCATCGTGGCGGCATTTTAAAACCCGTCGTGAATTGATGTTCTTGTTCACCTTCAATTGTGGCTCATAACCACTGAGGGAATTCGGCCAAGAAATAAGTGTTTTAACAAAATGTTACACATTTTGGAAGAGTGAAGGCTATGGAATAAAAACGTGACAAACTTTAGAATGAAACCTTGATGCTCATTTAAATGTACCAATATAAAGATTCTCATCTGTAATAGATCAGAAATAAATTAACACACCATATGTAAAAAATAAATAAAATGCAAGTTATGCG